AAAAAAAAAAAAGCTGAAAACTCCAAATACACACTTCAGTAAATTAAATTGCTAATTAAAAGGTCTAGCAATTAGCATAAAAATCTACTCAAGAAAATATAGAAAAAAGCCTAAGTCTTGCGGCTCTCTTATCTTAATTGCTCTGTTTCGTTTCGCTCATGAGCCGATTCTCGCCGTTAATTTCCTGTTTCTTTTAGCTTGTGTAAAAATCACATCTTTCTCCGATAATCTGTTTGTATTTTATAAGATTCATGGTGTGATGACATTACAATTTACAAACAATCTGTTCTATCAATGATATATCAATCAGTGATTATAACCAAACTACTACCATCCTTCTGAGGCATCAATTGTTTGTAAATTGTAATGTTTTCCAAAAAAATAATTGAAAAGAAGAGGATAATGTGATGTTCAAAAGCATAGTTCAAATGATCTAAATTTGATTATAAAACTCTAATTAGTCATTTGCTTATCTGATGATTCATCTTCCTCTGTTAAAAAAAGAAAATACTGAAATACAGGAAAAAAAAAAGATTGAATTATAATTATGGGCTGACCTTGAATCTTGATAGCTCCTTGACAAGTGATTTTCTTTTCATGCTTGGAGATCTTGTGAACTGTGAAGGTTTCAAGTTTTTATTTATTTTTTTATGTTTTTTACTTATTAAGAGCAGAACGACGTCATTTTGATTTCAATTAATTTTTTTTAATTGAATCCAAAACGACGTCGTTTTGGGATGTTTAAAAAATAAAACAATACCTGTCTTCTTCCTTGCTCTCTGTACGAGCTTCAACCTGGGCAGAAGCTTTATTTGGACATATCCTCACAATATTTCTATTAAAAATGATAATTAGCAAAAAAAAAATTGAGCCTAGGCAATTGCCCAGGCTCGCCTTAATCTCCATCCGCCTCTGGCTGCAGTTGAGTCTGTCCTTAAGTTGAAGGAGGTCCCAGACGAAAGGCGGGTCGCGCTTGTCGCCACGCGGTTTCGGGGACGAGCGGCGGCGTGGTGGATGCGACTCACGAGCTTGCGGCATCGCCAGGGGAAGCCAAAAATCTCCACTTGGATGCAGTTCCGTAAGTACGTAGAACGTGAATTTCTGCCTTATAATTATGATCATATGGTTTATCAGTAGTTACATACTTTGCGGTAAGGACAACGTTCGGTTCACGAGTATACTCAGGACTTTTATCGCCTCTTAACTCGTGTGGAGATATCTGAGACAAAGGGAATATGTGGGTGGTTTACATTTTGCTATCCAAGATGTGCTTAATCTTGTTGTCCCGGAGTCTGTTTCGGATGCACATCAACGAGCTCTTGTTGTTGAGAAACAATTGGCTCGGAAGACGGGCCCTTCTATTGGGTCTTCCTCACGGGCCGATGCATCTATGAGTGCGGGTGTGCAGCTCGGCCGTGGGCCACCTGCTTCGAGCGTGTACCTGGGCTCGACACCGGCAATGGGGCGCGACAATGCTACCAGTGGAGGGCAGTCGGCAGCCGCGAGTGTGCAGCGGACTGGGGGCGGGATTCGAT